ATACGTCATAACAATAATAAAATATCACAGAAAATTAAATTAAATTTATAGTAAAAAAAATGTTACTTTACCAATTAAAAATTTATTCATCAAAAATTTCTTGTACTCAAAGGTAAGGTTGCATCATAAGTCACAACAACATGAGAAAAAAGCTAAAAATTATTAGCTAATTATTAATTCAAACTATAGCATTTTTTTTGCATAGGTATTAACTAAGTACTTAATGTATTTACCCAAAATCATGTGATCACACCACTCACAACCTCAAAAGAAAATAAAGAGTTTTTTTCTTTGTCATTCTAACCTACTTTTATTATTCTAAATATTTTTGCTTTTAAAATATATACTATTTATTGAAAAATGATATTTCTAAACAAAAAAGTGCCAAATTCCAAAACCAATACGTGTCTGAAAAGGGAAGACTCCATGGAAGTGTCGTAACCGTTTTTAGAAGTATTGATGCGTGTTTTCAGGTCCACCAAATGTCTACAGGTGGTCAGATGATCATATATGTATGTCCATGCTCCATAAGCAACATCTATAGGAATCACAGTACTTTTAGTATATCAAGGCCTGCACCAAAATATGTCCGGATGAATTTTTATGTTTATAACGGACTCAAAATCTCTTCTAAGACATATTAATAGACTTTCGACGTGAAATAAATTCGGAGACTTTTATAAATTTCAAAAATAGATTAAGGCTCCAAAGGGGTAATAGAAGGTCGAAAATGATATAGATTGAAGTAGTGATTAAAGTTATAGTTTATGATCTGACTAAAGGTATAAACCCTGATAGAATAGTGGAATATAATTCGTGCAACCGATCTTCAAATAATTGGGATAAAGCTTGGATGATGATGATTATGATAAAATATCATTCAAATAAATATCGTGAATAAGATTTTGAGATCACAATCAAACTGGAGCATCTTTACAACTCGAATTCTATTTTAAAAAAAATTGATCTTGGAGATTAAGACCATGGATTTGCACTTTTTGAGTCTTCACTCATTTATATCTACGAAAAATGATGTAAGGCCTCATGGTACCGGCAAGGAGATGGCTTAACCAAACTATTTTGAAAAAAAAATAAAATTGGGGTAATTTAAAATTGCCAATTTGGTTACTCCTGTTTCTAGTAACCTACCCAAAATATTGCACCATGTTCTGGTTGGCAAATTCAAAAACCTTAGTTGCCAAAAATGGAAATGGCCAAGATATCCTCCAATAAACAAATAAAGGTGATCCAAATGGAAAAAGAAAGGGAGGGTATCAAATTACACATAAGAGAGGAGCTATTTATGACTTAATCCATTTGCAATTATTCAAACTAAAGATCATGTCTCTTATAGGTATTTTGAAATTAAATCACCTTATATTGGAGGTTCTAAATTGTTCATCTGTTATGGATAATTTGATAAATCTCCCCACGAAGGAAAAAAAGAAAAAAAAGAGGACGATCTAAATAATCATGGTAACAGCTTGTCATCATCATCCAATCTAATGGATGGCATGGTGTAGGGAGAGAAGATTGTAGAATTAATGAGAGGTTTGGTTGGATACACTGGCCCTTCATCACCGTCGCCTATTAATCGAAGGGACTGGCTCTCTGACCATTTTGTTACCATGATCATATGGATCACCAGAATAGATGCTAGGGAGTTTCGAAATTAGTCATATTTTGTTAAATTTTAATGCAACTTAATCCATCATTGGGAAGTAAAAGCAAGAAGTAACATTTATCAAATTTTATTTAGGTGAGTTTTGAATAAGTTGCTCATCTTATAGTATACAAGAAAGGCGCACCTCTAAATTTTTTGGGACGATGACCTTCCAGTGTTGGAAGCCTGATGATGACTTAAAAATCCATATTCAATTTTTACTATGAGATTTAAATTTCAAAAAATGATACAAATCGAGCAGATCTATAAAAATTTAAAAATCTTGAAAATAGACGGTCTACATAACTTGTTATGAGATACGTTATTTTTATGACTTAAAATTCTTTATTTATGTATATATATATATATGAACCTTTGTAATTTAAAGGATTGCGAAGTTTAAAATATCCCATATATAATGTACATGTAGACAGTCCTATATTCTACGGTTGCGTCGTGCCCAGATGACATTTTTTATACTCACGTCTACATCACGAATAGACATACATATCCATTTATGTGTAACGTAAATGGACTTATGGATCGAGATAGGGGATTTTCGGCTGCAATTTGCACCATCTAATTATATTATAATCAGACAATCCATATTAGGACATGCATAATAGCATATACATGCACCTCAATGGGCCCTAATTCTTAACCAAAAAAAAAAACAAAAGGAATAAAAAATTTACTTCCCATGATAGCATTATTCATCAACCTCCCCAACTATTGGAATTGGAATGGCTTCTAGACACCAGGTAATCCTCTTTGATTCATCATTATTTTTCTTTTCATATTTTATTGATTTATATAGATAAGGGATTTCATTTTCGCAAGGGAGCATGTACTACCTGTTTACTACCTTGAGGTAAAACCTAATCTTCCAGGACTCCATATTTTAGGGATGTATATGTTAAACTCAATGAAAAAAAGTTTTCAAATCGCATTCTCTGTGGGCTCGAAAAAAAAAATGCCTCAAGAGTGAATAAAAACTGTCAAATGTTTTAAGGTGAAATCCAAGTGTTAGAAAACTCAAAATTCATTTTTTTTCTTCTTTTCAACACAATCATCCAAAGATTTTAGGTGATTACCCAATTTTAGGATAAATATTCTTCTCAAGTAAATCTTCTTCCTGAGGGAGTACATGCGCTTGATTGGGTAAACATATATTGATCCATGGGAAATATGTCGTCATGAGGTCCTCATCGTTCACTCAATTGGATAGACGATGATGGACTCAACTGGACAGAGTGATGGAAGAGAGGATACCACCAAAATTGACATGACACTGAAGGTATGCCGTCGCTCCTGAATCGTCCATCCAATTCACTGATGGTGATAATCTCATGACTACTTTTTCCCATCGCCATGTGGATTATTATACACTGACCTTTCTTATTTTTCTCTAGAAACCAATTTTTATGATTTTATACGCCTTTTCCCCACCTAGGGCTGGGTCTGATCTATTCTGGATTCATTGGGATTTGGATTTAGATTGAAAAAGTATACATGGGATTTAGATGTGGATCCAGACCCAATAGATCCCGAATATTCAGATTCAGATATGGATCCAAACATTATATATGAGATTCAAAACTAGATCCAGACTCAATCAGATCCAAAAAATTATTTTATATCCATAAAGTAATATAAAATAATAAATAATAAAAATATTATAGAACATATATATACATAAAATAATATGTAATATTTTAATATCTGGATTAGATCTGGCCTAAAATATTAGTTTATATCCAAAATTTGAATTCGGATCCGACTTAGTAGATCCAAATGTTAGATTCATACCCAGGTCTAAATAAATCCAAAATTGAAACAATAAATCCAAAATTCGAGTTTTGAATTCAACCTGGATAAATTCTCAATCATGTCTCCATCTCTCTCCCTCTTTTATCTGCTTGCTTTTATTTTCTTTTCCATTTATTACTCTCTCTTATTTGGAAAAAGAAACATCTACAAAACTTCTATAGGTGAAGTTATGCATACTTGCTCTCCTTTTCTTTCCCCTTTATTATTTTCTCTTAGTTGGAAAATGAAACATCTATAAAACTCTTATAGGTGAAGTTCTATAGTACTTCACATACACCTCATCACCGTCAAAAGTTCATTATATGGTCACAATTATCCGATAATTTATATAAGCTGTTAACTTTATACTATACGAGTAAAGTGCACCTAAAAACCACTTGAAAACGTTTTTCTAAAAATACCCTCAAATCAATCATCTCGACCTTAGACATGAAAAAAAAAAAAAATTTGTAATCTTAAAAATATTTACCTTTCAACTAAGTATCTGTACCGTCTATTTTCAAGTGTCTATAAATACACTTGATCGTCACCATTTTTAAAACATTTACTTTCATAATTAGGAGGAACAATAGGTTTTCATATCATGTCAAGGCTTTGCAGCACCCAAACTGCTCAGCACCACCCGAACTGCATTTTCAGCCTAGTTTTGGGGTGCACCTTACTTCAATAATATAAAGTTTACACCGCATGCGAAAGCTCCCTCTTATTTTCTCTCCTTTTTTACTTTCTCATTTTCTTACGCCCTTTCTCTCTTCCCTCTCCCCTTTTACACACTCTCTCTCCTCAGCTACTGTAAAATCTGAGAAACTATTCATTAATCGCTCCTTTTCTCAACCTCAAAGGTGGACCAGCCCTCGAGCCTTTCATTTGCAGCACAGAATGTATTGAATCCCCAAGAACACAGAAATTCACGGACTCACTTCTTATCTGAGGTTTTTCCTTCTTCCAAATTAGGCCTCCTAGAGTTCTATTACCAAAACTTTTCAGACTTTTCTAACATTTGGTAGTTCTTTTTTTTCTCTTGCAGATTGTGGGTTGATCCATAAACCCTAATTCAACCCCGTTTTGTGATCATGGGTTTCTGGGTAACAACCCTAATTTTTATTTTAACAGGTGTTCTTGCCTCCCTATTGGTCAGAATATGCTACAACAGGGGGCCTTCTGCAAATTTGTAATTTTTTCATTCTTCTCATTGTGATTTTTATTGCAAGTGTGCATATTTTTTGTTCTAGATTACATTGATAAGTAACTTTTATTGCAAGTGTGCATATTTTTTGTTCTAGATTACATTGATAAGTAACTTGCTTGGACCCCAATTTTTTATTGATCTTTACATTGGAGAAGAAGTCTTATTACATTGGGTAGGGAAAATTGGGTTTTGCCTTTGTCTCTCTTGTTTCTACATGGATTGTGTTGATGTTTGGGATATTGGTCGTTGGATTTTGGTACCAAAGATTAGGTGATCCAAACTCATCCAAACTCATCATTGGATCCTTTAATACAGCGATTGGATCTGATAATTACCTGGTATCCAATGCTCATTTGGCTAATTTGCGAATAATTGTTGTATATATATCAAATTCTGGTGGCTCTTTGGGCAGTCCTTGCCTGTGTGCGAATTATGTTACTTTTTATTTCTTTTAATCCGGTGGACACTAATCAATTGTGAGGGCTATGTTATTAAGTTATTTTTACTTTCTCTGAATTGGATGTGCTTGAGGTTTTTACCGGCTGAAAATTTCAACGAAGACTTTGTTTTTTTGAAAATTTAGTAGAATTTTAAAGCAATCTAGATGAATGTTGATTGGCTTAGTTGAATGTCTAGGTGGCTCACTTTGATAACAAGGAACTTTCTTCACTTTTGGCATCGTGTGAGCCTTATAGTGGGATGCCCATTGTCATTCCCCAGTGTCAGATATTGCTATTAGCCCACTAAGTTTTGTAAACTTGTAAATGAACTTATACAGTTTAATGTTCTAATTGTCATGGACTCACGGCTTTACAATATTTTTCTATGGTTATATTGACATGGGTACATATGCTAGTCAATTTTTCTCAAAAGACATGGTGGGTACATATGAATGTTATGTGATTTTTATTTGTTAGAGGAAAATTTCCTAAAACTCCTCAAGAAGAATTTCCAATCACCTCTATTTTTCTGAAGTTCTTGTAAGCCTACTTCCTAAATAATCAAGTACATTTTTTTTAAATTTTTTTGTTTGGAGAAAGGTTAATGTAGTACCTCTATTAATTAAGTATTAATGTTGCATCAAATTCTATTATCTGATATTATGTGTATTGTGTTCTTTTTATGATCCAAATAAATTCCAATAAATTGAGGATCCGAGTTAGTTCTTTATTTATTTTTGTTAAAGAGCATTTGAAACTTTTTCATACTTGAGGAATAAAATGCAAAAAATGTTTTCTGTAATTCATATGGAACATCCTCATCAGTCCTGATGCTCACTAAGAAACATTTCTGTTATATTATGCATGCTTCTATCCTCACACTATGTTTGGAGATGGTTAGGCTAAACTTCAAATATTTCTCCTCAGTCAGTCAAGTTTTCTCACTTTGTATTTCCTATGCCTAGAAACTCTAAGATGGGGGGAAAACTGTAATTTCTGCTTATCATTGTAGGACAATTTAACAAAATAAAGTGTTGAAAGGGCACCAAGAATCTAACAAGAAGCAAAGGCACCAAGATCTTTTTTCTGATCTATAATAAACAAGAGTGGTGGTCTGATATCCTTACATTTGCGGCTGAGGCTTGTTTCCTAGCTTTAGATTCTAGATGGCAGAGTATATATCTTAAATATGGCGATGAGATTGTCATGGTGATTTTCTAGAGGGAGGGAAGGAGAGAGCGTACTTACTGGTTCATTGCATTGCGTAAATGAGTGTAGAATTCACGCACATGCGTTCTTTAACATGTCATAATTTTTCTCACTAGACGCAGTGTAGTAAGTTTGTTGTGCTCCTTGGCATTCTAACATGCATGCAGTGCCGTTGATCCTTTAACATTCTTTTATTGTTTTAATTTAATAAGCCATTAAGGCGGTTCGGCTTAAACTCATTGTGATGTTGAGGATAGAATTTGTTAAAGATAATCACTATGGAATCCATCATTCCAATGGATGGCGGATGCAATTGGCCTATGGATTTCCATAGTCCATTGGATTATAAGATAGGCTTCCCTTTTTTTTGTCCTGGATGAGTACATTTATTCCTGGTGATATATATTTGTCTTGAATTTTTATCTCAAATTTCTAGGCAAATTTATCTTGACTCTTGCTATCGTTGGAAGTTCATTCGTCCTATCTGACGCATAATTTTTTTTGACCTGCAGGTTCCATTTGACACTGGTTATTACTGCAACTGTTTGTTGTTGGATGATGTAAGTTCTGATGCCACTTTATAACCATCAAGGCTTCTTAATACACAAGATCATTTTTTAAGAGATCTCTGGATAATTTTTAGGTTGCTCCCCATACTTTGTTAATTTATATGTATGTGGTAATAAGTTCTATCATATTAGGCGTTTCATCGGGTGGTTTGGAATTGCAGCCCTAATCTGTTGGTAAATTCTGTCCAGGGCTAAATACCAGAACTTAGCTCAAGGGAGAGAGGGAGGGTGGGAGGGACGGAAGGAGTGAGTGAGTGAAGAGTTTCAGATTTTGGGAACTACCAATTAGAATCATCAAGTAATGGTTAGGAAGGGAGGGAGGGAGTTAAGAGTTTCAGATTTTGGGAACTACCAATTAGAATTATCAAGTAATGGTTACAAATTTGGACATAATTCCATTTTTAATTTTCTTTTGAAATTGTAGCTGCAAGACAATGAAGAAATTCCTTCAGTAGAGATTAGGATTGAATTATATTAGGGCACCGTTTTAAGGAGAAGATAGAAAGTACATTCCGAATATTAGTTGATTGTGACTGAAGCTTATCATGTGACATTGTGCATGCAATTCTTTAACTAAGTGGTCTTTATGCAACAATAGGAAAATATTGCCTAATTCGGCAGGATTTTCTTCCTTTTTTTTTTCCTTTGAAATAGCTAATATTGCAAATTATTGTTGAGACTTGAGATAATGCTACATCGTTAAGTTGCTAATATGTATATCCTGTGTTGATGAGAGCAGTTAGGGGATCAATATACTGATGAGAACATTGTTTTGATACCTTTAAGCCTCTTCCTTGTCCTGGTCCTATCGCAAGTGACTTTTTGTTATTTAAAGTCCCGAAAATACTCTCTGTGCCTCGTCTGAGTACAAGGTGAAAAATAAAGGAAAGAAAATGTACATTAAAGGTAATATATTTATTATTCGTGGGTGCACAAACTAGCCTAAAAGTCTATCAAATTTAGATTTCAACGGCATTAACAAATTCAAGCAGTTTCTATGAGAGATGTCAGCAGCATTTTGCAACTTGCATGTTAATTTGGAGATGCCAAATGTAACTATGGAATGTCCTTGAAAGGGAAAGAGGAAGTATAGGTGGGCTGAAATTGATTTAGCTCACAATGACACCTATGGATGGAGGACCTTCCATACAAACCCTGTGGTCTCTGCTTGTGAACAACCTTGTGCTCCCCACCATACCTCCATGTCCTAGACCCTCCCTTAGGCTAGATGCTTCTCCCAAATCCCTCAATATTTTTCAAAATTGTGTGTGTTTTCTGAGAGCTGAGAAAATTTTGGCTGCACAAATGGTTAGTGCCATGTGGATAATTTGGAATTTGTGTAAACACTTGCTTTTTGCTTTGTTAGTTACACAAAAAGTGTGTATGCCATGGGAAAAATTTTGGATTTTTGGGAAGCTTTTGGTTTAGGCAGCCTGAACAAGCAGTATGTGTGGCTCGCGCATTTCTAGAAATTATCAAGTTTGGTCTGCTTAAGGTGGTGTTGCAAATGATGTAGTTTTGCAATATTTCTTGATGTTGGGTTGCGGTCAAACTGAGAAAAGCAGTTATATATTTAGAAAGGGTGTAAAAGAATTGTTTGCCATTGTTAAAATGGTTGTATCTCCATGGTACAGAGTCAGAATTGTCCTTATCTACATGTAAAGCTTAGCTTACATGTCATATACCTGAGGAACATTATTGTTGGCACATATAAGTCACTGCACTAAGCTTGCAAGCGGGTCTCTCTCTGGTCTAGTCACTCCCATATTGGTTTGCTAGTGCTCAAAGAACTTGCCTATACGAAGATGGTTCAACTAGCATCTGTCCGTAGAAGGTGCATACAACCGTCTTCAAAATGCCTTTTGGCCATTATGGTCAACATCCTTAGAGCCCCCTACCCATACCTGTAATGGGATAATGCGCAAGGGGACACATAATAGGCTCAAAAGATGCTCATACAGTGCCCAAATGTTTGTTAAGGAGCTAGGGACATGCCTGACAGTGTGGGTTGGTGTCATTTGGGCTGCTTATTGGAGTCAGTGTGACCTAGAAACTTTGTTTTCCTTTGGTGCAGCATGTTGACACCTGTCAACACTTGAACATGTTTTACACAGGCCAAAATGGGTTAGACATGATGGGCCGTACATGTTATTACAACCATGCATAAACACATCTAGTATACCTGTCAACCTAGATAATACTGCATAATATTGTATATCTAGCATAACTTTTGGTGAGGAGCAGGGTTCCATTTCTTTATTGTTGTTCCCATCAACACCAAAAAAATAAAAACTTGAGAAGATAAGGATGCTTTTATGTAGGATTTGACATCTATGCTTGACATAACGATGGGTTACAAAGTTCTATTCCCCCAGCCCTCTCCCCTCAACCACCCACCCCGCCCCAACAAAAAACAAAAAACCAAAAAAACAAAAGGAAGGGGAAAAACAATGGTGGATTAGAAAGATAAAGTTAAGCTGATTTGGGAGCCTGAAAATGACATTGGCTTTCTCTGTAATCTTTTTCTCTCATGTCACATAAGAAAAGAACAATCCTCTTGTCCACTCTCATTTTCCTTGTATTCTCTCTTTAGTCTTTCAACCACAAACCCAATTTTGGTACTTCCTGATTTTTCATTTTTATTGTACTTCTTGGATGTAGCCCATACTTGAAGGTTTAGGAAAGTTTATAGTAATTTAAAAATTTTTTTTTTGTGAATATGAGGATTTTATTCCTTTGTTTTCATTCCTTTTAATTCCTTTCACATTTTTGAAATTGTATTTATATATTGTTGTTTTCTAATTGTTCAACTTACTGAGCTGTATTGGGTTTTTGAGGTCCACGACTACTTATACATGGGTCAAACACTACATTTGCAGTCTGTAATGCTTCTTGGCTAGGAGATACATGGGTCAAACACTACATTTGCAGTCTGTAATGCTTCTTGGCTAGGAGATACATGGGTCAAACACTACATTTGCAGTCTGTAATGCTTCTTGGCTAGGAGATATACCTTAAATGGATACAACTTGGCAATTACATACTTCTTTGTCAAGAGATAAAGTTCCAATGGACACAACTTGCGTGCATCTGTACATTGTCTGCACAGTCCACTTCTGAGGGCCTGGATGGTAATCCACTAAAGGGGACTGAACAAAGTTAATCTTGGCTATGGGGCCATGAAGTGCGTGAAAGCACTACCTGTGAACACTTGAAGCATTTCTCTGGCATCAAAGTCCTCAAAATTGGTATAGACAAGGGGAATTGATTATTTAACTAAAACAAAGCATTTTGATTGCCCATGCAACTGATGGCACGCCCTGAATTTTGCACATGGCTCTGAATGGCAAGGTGAAGAAATTCACCGAAGTGCAAGTAAATAACCTGGCATGCGCTGAGTCATGGTGCCCAAGTTAGGCATGCGAGCGGGTCCTTGTTTGGTGTGATGGCTCCCCATAGTGTAGTTTGGAGAGAAAGGTTGTGTGCAGTGTTGCAGGCAATGCCTTTATGCAGCATCGCCCCCCTGATCTGCTTCGTTTGACCCCCCATTGTAGGTTCCATGGACTATTCTCTGGTCATATGGAAGTTGTAAGCATTTAGCTGCATCTCCTTTCTAGGAAGTATATTGGACCATGGGCTACAATGGGGAGCCACCAGATCAAAACCAGGCTGACTCTTGTCCTTGTGCATTTTCCTGGTTCTCTATTAACCATACAGGATCTGCATGGGACTTTCGTGCCACTTGTGTGTACCCTGGTGCACTAAGCCGTAGCATGGTGGAAAGTTGTAAGGCCATCAGCTGCTGGGTCCCAATGGTCATCTTGGAGGGATTTGTACAAACACTTTTGAGTTGAAGTCTTTTAGCTGTCTCCTATGGAAGGTGAGTTTTTTGATACAATGGGGAGCTAGCATATTTGAAGGAGATCCGCTTGCTTGCTGCTTTTCAGGTGTATAGGCAACCACATGGTTGCATTTGTGGGTTGCTTCTGTTTGTATTGGCATTGAGCTTGCACGTACCCCTGCAATTAAGCTTGTTCTGATGGGTGCACGTGCACTAGGGGGCCTGGCATGTGCACATGAGGTAGGGGGCAGGGTGTGTATACTGGCGCTGTGGTTTTCCACTGTGTTACACAGGGCACCCCTTGAGCCATCTCACTGGGTTGCTCCTGTGGCTCCTGACGCACTATGCCACAACCATGAACTAGTGTTTGTGACCTAAGAGATTGCTGATTATACGAAGTCATACGTTGAGGTCCTGTTTGGATGAGTACACAAGTCTCCAACTCAGGATCCTTTACCCAACATTTTTATGAGCTGTTTGGTTGCTGTACCTTTCTCCACCATTTGCTATAGTGTTCTATCAATTTAGCTTGCAAAAACACGACATATCTACTTTCTAATGTCTTCTATGATCTATCTATTAGGGGATAGTTACTTACCCAAAAACTATCAGGGGATAGTGGATACAGAATCTCTGACAGCTAATACTATTGGAGTTAATAAATAAATATACATAAGTCTCCAACGCATGATCCTATACCCAACATTTTTATGAGCTGTTTGGTTACAGTACCTTTCTCCACCATTGCTATAGTGTTCTATCAATTTTGCTCGCAAAAACAGGACATATCTACTTTCTAATGTCTTCTATGATCTATCAGGGGATAGTTACATACCCAAAAAATATCATGGGATAGTGCATACAGAATCTCTGACAGCTAATACTATTGGAGTTAAGAAATAAATACTTATCATCACATAAATCACCCCCCTATTTTTTCTATGCATTAACCTATTTTTTGAGATTTTTTGATATTTATCGACCGCATCAGGGTGATGCACCCACATCTTGACCTCATCGAGCCACATTGGCCCCCTGACTGTATTTGGACAGCATTCCGCATTTTAAAACACTTAATTATACCTTTCTCTAGTCGTCTATATCTCCCTTCTTACCACATGGTGTGGTGCCTTTTTCATTTTCCTTTGTCAATCTAGAGAGGCTCCTCCACCAACCCCTGTAGACGTCCCATAATTTGAGCCTACTTGCCTTGTGTCATCAAAAGTGTCCAAGCTCCCACGAGGATCCATCCCAACATAGTCAATTGTGTCCTGATGGTGTCTAGGTCAAACTGCTATATACTTGCTCAATCCTTGCCATGATATCATGCAAGCCTTCCTAGCCTTCTATCTCACCAAACATCAATTCTTTCCCTGTCCTAAGAGCCAAAAGAAGAGCCCTCCGGACGTAATCGTCACTAAATCCCATTAGTGTGATGCTCCTCCTCCCCTGAAGCTTTTTTAGACCTCTATGTTTCAAACCTAACCCAAGTGATGCCCCTACATTTCTAAGCAGAGGTGTGCATTGTTAGTGTCGTGCATGTGACAAGTCCTTTGAGTGAGTTTGGTCAAGGGCTTTCTTGTTTTGGTGAAGGGCTTGCTCAAGCAGGTAATGAGGGTGTGTGGACCTCTTGGGTTGGGGAATTCTACATTAGTTGAAGCAAGTACACTCTTGACTGGTTAGTGGTGCCGTTATGAAGTTGCATTGACATCAAAGGTCCATAAAACTTCATGTTTTCTTGAACCTCTTGCAGTTAGCTTTCAGCAGGGATAGTTCTCCTAGAAATATGTCTCCATCAACCTGTATATTGTAGACATAATGTGTTCCTAGAGCCTCGTAGAATGAGTGTGTCTATTGATCTGTAAATATAAGCTGCACACAGGAAGGGAAACCCAGCAGACAGATCTCTACACCCATTCTCACTCATTGACATTATAATTGTCCCTGTGCTTCCTTGGTGGTCCTGACCTTGAGGTTTCCTACTCTAGACATAAGATGTGTCCTTTTTCTTATGGTTTATTAGTAGGTAATTCTGAGCTGGGTTGGTGAGAGATGGAATGTTTGAACTACAAATTCTGACAATTGTCTTAAATATGCTTTTATCATTCTAATGAGGTTTCATGAAAATTGTCATGCATTGTTGTTTTTTGGTTTTGTGAAGTAATAAGTTCCATAGAATGGGCCTGAGGCCTGGGTGGTCAGGTTGGTGGAGCACCAATGTGGTGTCTTGGGTCCTACCCACACACTATAATTGTAAAGATGAAATTTTATAATGAAATCAACTTCTTCAAAACATGTGCTTCCCCATAATTAGTGAATTGGAAAGTTTTCCAAAATTGTGAACAAGGACATAATTTTCTCAAGTTTTATCTGAGCAAGTAGATAAATGATCCAATTAATTGCAGAAGATATTCTCCCTGGGGCCATATTAAGAATTTATGAACGCCATCTTTGCCCATCTTAAACCCTTGTTTTTATGGGAAATGCTATGTTGAGGAAAACAAAAATTTACAAGCTAGTCAAAGAAAAACCAAGAACAAAAAACAGGATTTATTATTTAGTCTTCTGAACTTTTTCCTATTTGAACTAGTCTTTTCAAACATAATTTGTTTACTCTCATATTTCATGACAAGTTTATTTTCTTATTCTTGTCACTCGTGTTGGTTTCCATTTGTAATTTGTTTATTCCCTTTTCACAGGTGGGCAATAGTGTATCTGGCACAACTACACCCCCTTATTGTCCCTATTCTCAATGAAGGAGAATGAGGTGCTTCCACAGAGCAATCTTTCAATGCTACTTATTTTAATGATGTCATTGTGCCCATTGACTCAAAGAAGGCCATTGTATTTGCTATTTTAGATTGTGCTTTGTTGTTATGGGATATATTTGTCATGGAAAATCTCAATCATCTGATTTTTGGTCCTTATTCATTTCTGACCAGTGTTTTGGGGATTCGACTCTGCCTGCTGCTGTAGTGTTGACTTGGGATTCAAACTTTTATTTTTTATTTTTATTTCCTGGCGGGTAACATAAATGTTGTTTGTAATTCTACTTCTACTATCAGCTGGAATGTGCTTCATGTATGGATGTGATTGCTGACCCTTCTATACATGAGGTGATAGTGTTTATTTATAATTATAATATTGCATAAATTTGTAAACTCCAATATCAGCTACTCGAAAGGCAAATCGATATCCTCTAGGGCATGTATACTTTCGAGTACAATGTATACTCGAAAGTCTTTATTGAGATAATGGATTTCAATTTGTTGTGTTCTTGAATGCAGCCCTTTTGGGGTGAACCATGTAAAGCTATATTATCATGTTTCATTTTTTATTGCTCTCAAAATTCTCTTTATGGTAGCAGTGTAGCACTGCTACACTGGGAAAAGGGAGATCAATTGAGAACATTGTGGTTGGGAGAGTGGTTCTAGAGGGAAAATGGGCAAAGGTTTTGTCAATGTTTAAAGTAGTATACCTTTTGTCACATAAATTTGTGGTCTTTTTTGACAATGGATATCAATTTGTTGTGCCCTTGAATGTGGCCTTATTGGGCTGAACCATTTATAGTTATCAGGTTCTATTTTCTGTTTTAAATTTATTTCGTCATGGCATTCATTTTCTTGTGGCATTTGCCTATTTTACATTTCAGTTGACAACATTGTGGTTGGGAGAGTGGTTCTAGAGGGAAAATGGGCAAAGGTTTTGTCAATGTTTAAAGTAAAATGTATACCTTTTGTCACATAAATTTGTGGTCTTTTTTGACAATGGATATCAATTTGTTGTGCCCTTGAATGTGGCCTTATTGGGCTGAACCATTTATAGTTATCAGGTTCTATTTTCTGTTTTAAATTTATTTCATCATGGCATTCATTTTCTTGTTGCATTTGCCTATTTTACATTTCAGTTGACTATATACACAATCCTGAGTAGACTCTGATATTTCAGATTCCTAATTTTACAAGCAAGGGCTATCGATGGCCCTATAGAAATGAGAACATTGGTACTTTGTGGTCGTTATGAAGTTGGAATGTAGTCGTGGGATTATGAATGAAAACGTGGTGGTTTATCAATAAATATTAGGAAGTTCGAATGTAATTATTGGATTCAAAGCCCTAGCATTTTGTTTGAAAATTTCATGGTGTTTGAAAATAATTTTGGAAAATGCATGGGGATGTGGAATTTTACCTTATGGTTGAGGATTAATCCGTACATACATTTCTTTTTGAGTTATGTGAAGGTAGTTTTGGGCCCTCTTTTTAATCTTTTTACAGTTATATTTGTGGGCAAGCTTTCTATACTATAAAGTTTACGTGATTTTTTTATCCAACCATTCATTCTGAATAGACGGTTGAGATGGTTTTAATGACAATGTCACATTTCTACACTATTTTATTTTTAAATGTCTTATACAAAGCATTTTGGTGCTAAATTTTGGGCATCCATTCGCACCTCTAAAAAAATATAAAAGAAATATTTTCAATAAAATAAAATGACCAATTGCCTATGAAGTTTTGGGGGTATTTTGTTCATTGTATTTGATCAAAAGCATTTTTTAAATGTTTGTTTTAAGTGTGTCCCATTGAGATGATGGCAAGTACCAAATTTTATATTCATATAATTTGTATAAAAATAATTAAAAATAAAATACTTGTAGGCATCAGGTCTAGATCAAAGAATCAGTGGTTCACTTGATCTGAATGAGACAGTTGGATTCACTTGATCTAAATGATGTTTGTTTTAAGTGCGTCCCATTGAGATGATGGTAAGTATCAAATTTCATATTCATATAATTTGTATAAAAATAATTAAAAATAAAATACTTTTAGGTGTCAAATCTAGATCAAAGAATAAGTGGTTCACTTGATCTAAATGAGACAGTTGGATTCACTTGATCTAAATCAGACAATTAGATGGGGGTGGGGGGCATATTTTCTATACAATAGGGGAAGTATAGAAACCTTTCCCTGTATCAATTTGGAGGGAGAGACCCTCCACTGCCACCGTTAACATTTCCAAAAGAGCGGGAGAGATTAAAATGGAGAAGGTAGTGGGAGTAAATGAGATAGGGCTGACCTCGACTTTAATTTTCTAAGTCAGGCTTGAGCTCAGTCTAGAATCAACTCATCACGGCATGGCTTGGACCAATAATCGGGCCAGGCCAGATGGTGTCGGCTCCCCCATACCCTGCAAGACCTAGGCCATCGAACCCGCTATGGGTCCTAACCATATGTAGGTTTTAAGGCTGGGCTCGGAACGACCTTGGCCCTTCCACCCCTTGTAACATGGATGAAGGTTCAAGATTGAATTAGAATTGAGATATTAACTTAAATTGCCCTCGCTCTTTAACATTGATGGGATCTATTTATCTTAGGTGTTGAAAGGGCTAAAATGCTTCCAGGAGTTGTGGTTGATGTTATCACATTTGGTGTCGTGAGATTAAACAAGTCCATGTGTCACATTTATTTTAAGTTTAAGATAAACAAAGATTACTTTAGTAGTAATCTATAATGCAGATTAAACACTATCTGCTATATTTTTATCGTATCTTTAATGATGTGTCAAATCCACACCATCCAGCCCCAATGTTATGTTTAGCCAACTTATCTTAATATGAAATTTGGGCCATGACTACTCCATGAAGGGGTGCACCCAAATAAAATAGAAGAAAATACTTTCTTGATAAAATAAAAATAAAAAAGACCAAAGTGCCCTATAAGTTACATGGGCATTTGGTTTATTTTTATTAAGAAATTGCATATCAAAATTACTTATAAGAAAATGGATTAAAACTAAATTCTCTTATCAATCCAAGAACTTAAAAGTTAGTACCGAACATTATGGCTGAAGCTATCCTTATCGTCAATTCAAATTTAACGGGAAATTTTCTAACATTTATTAATATTAATAATCTTAAAGAATTTCAAAATTTTGTTAACAAGAAGGATTTAAATAAAATAGTAATTAATGTTTAACGTTGGTCTGTTGGGTGCAAATTGTGTGCAATTCATAAACAATCTTACAAATGTTTTTTTTCGGTCCAAGTACACCAAAGTAGAAAAATAAATGAAATAAAGCGAACCTTTATTATTGTCAAAAAGAAAAAGGAAAAGCAAATAAAGCCCTTTTGATTGAGCCAAATGGGGCGGCCCAAGATTTGGATTGAAACAGCAAAACAAGCTCCTTTGTTACAAGAGCACGTATACTATGTACCTTCGGGAGTATAGTTTGCTTCTACTCTTTCGATTGAGGATTTTTTCAATTTTAAAATTTGGTTATCACCATAGAATTATCAAATGATTATTTAAAAAAAAAAATACAAAAAAAGAATTTTGTAATACTTAGATTTAATCTTTTAAAAATTAGATAGTTTCTATTCAATCTTGAGACATTCTTTTTTTTCAAGTGTTTAAATGGTGCAATTAGAAAAGTTTTTTCATTAGGTGCATATAATGTTATATTCCAAAATTTGAGGTCCTAACAATAATCTTAGATAGGGTTTTACCCGAGGGAGTAAATAACCACTATACTCGCGAGATAGTAGAATATGTTTTGCCTTCTTTTCTAAAGTAAATACAATAAATGATATGGTGGCTGAATGTCAATTGTTTGAAAAATAAGTCAAACCGAGGTTCGGATAGGCGTGCTTGACTAAAGTTCAAAAGAAAAAGTCAATTTTCATAGCGTTCCATTTGGAACATAATTCCTACCAAAATTGAAATTCCACAGCTCTATTCAAGTTAAATTAAAAATTCTACTAAAAATATGATAAACATAGTTTGAACCCGTCTCAAAAAAATGGCTATGTCAAGTATATTTTAAACAACATACGAGTGTAGTTTGCAAAGGGTTGCAACTTTAAACAATCAAATTATCATCCAATTTTATCATATGATGTAATTTTTGTGTCAATAATTCTTAAGATAATATGAAAACTTATTTTCATTGATCTTGTAGATTCAAGATTCATAAAAAGTTTTGACAAAGTTTTACGTTTGGCTACCTACCTAATACAACCCATATCATTTACCCGGACTTAAGATGGTTAATAAAAAGTTTAAGGTTCTCACTCTTCTTAGACCAATCAATTTTCATCTCTAATTATAAAATATTAGACTCCAAAAATAGTTCAAATTAAGGAAATCTATAAACACATACAAAACTTTAAAATAGACAGTCCAGAAAATGTGTTGTAAGATGCACTATTTTTGGACTCGAAATCTTTTTTTTTTTTTTTTCATATTCGTATATTTCAATATCTAAGTGACCAATTAAAGGGTTTTCCAACTTCAAAACAACCTTTTACATCAGATTTTTCTGGTGCATCTTAATTCTACATTTTAAGGTTGCAACCTTATATAAATTTTTTCCTTTAAATACTTGGATTATAAGCAATAAAATGAAATATGATGAACTAAACGACAACTAATGAAAAATTGAAAAGTTATAGAGGTGAAACTAAATATTACTTTAAAAATTGACAATGTCAAAGTAAGTAAATAAAATTAATTAATAAATAAACAAATATATATATATATATATATATACTTTGGATGGTGATGCGGGTTGACGAAATCACTGTTTATTTTCACCTATAGGCGAAAATGAATAGTGATTTGGCCTACCTTCATTACTACCCAAAGTTCATCGCATGCTCACGATTGTTCAGTGGTATTTTATTTTATTTTATACAAATCAGAATGACCTGAAATTCGGAATGCGTGTTCATTAAAAATAGGCGAATCTACAAAAAATATAAAAAAAATATTTTACAAACCAGAGTTTTAAAAGTTTCTATCGGCATAGAGATCCAATAAAACATAGCTTCTAACCCCCACGACCTAGTTTACCCTTTGGACTGCACTTTTTTTACCCAAAAAAAGTTGAAAAGGGCACATCTATCTTTTTAGGGGTATTTTGGTCAATTTTTTTTACAAAATAATTTTTTTATATTTTTATTGCATTCTTTTATTTTTAAAGTACAAATGGCCAAAATTTAAATTGATTTAAATTTATATAAGAAAATTAAATTTAAAATTAAAATGTGAAATACAATCGTGATCATTGGATCAACCTAGATTCAATCTGGGCCATTGGGCCTATATGTAGTTGTAGGCAAGTGAGTCTATGCTAGCATTTCCATAAATTTCAAGTGATTTGAATTTGTATATAAGAAAAGAAATACGAAAAATGAGGTAGTGACCGTCAGATCGACCTAGATTCAATCCGGGCCATTGGCTGACACTGTAGCAGTTATATATATATA